CTTTATCAACATGAATTTCTGCATTGGCTCATACCACTGAAGTAAAACAATTCCAGACTGTAAAGCTCCACAGAGGTATTTATGTCCCGTGTAAGGGTTTCTGACTGGAAAGAGCAACAAAAAACAGACACATTTAGAACATGGAATACTTTATCTGAAAGTATAATTAGGTTGACCAAAAGCAACAACTAAGCTATACTCAACCAAAAGTTAAAAAGGCAGTAATCATATGAGGGAAAAACATGGAATGTGATCTGACACAACACTAAAACATAGATGGAACAACAAACTAGATGAAGTGATCACTTATCTGACAAATATCAATTACTGTCTCTGTTAAGTAGAAGGACAAGAGTGGGCAAATAAATACAATTCTTTTTATTTTGTCTTTTTTACCCTTTGTTACTTTTTTTTTTCCATTTATGTACTTGGTACAGGATCTCAATAGGTAGCTGGGACTCATAGTGATCCTCCTGTTTTCAGCCCTCCCCAGTGCTGGGGTTACAGGTGTGCACCACCATACCCAGACTGGGTCACCAGCTCAGCATGCCTGGGGTTGGGCTGGGGACTGAACCCTGGTCCCTGTGGTTGCCAAACCAGGGGCTTAGTACACCGAGCTATCTCACTGGCCCTCTTTGTTGCTTTATCTTAATTTTATTTTTATTAGTACATGTTTGCAGTACATAATCATCAAATTCTTTAGGAGGAAATGGTACTTCTTTTTTTTAATCCCCTTCCATCTCTTGGTCTTCTTCCCATTTGCAATGGATCTATTTCCCCAATTCCATTGTCTATCTTTTATTTTGCTCTTTATATATTTTGGGTTCCTCATGTAAAAGAAACCATGTGATATTTATTTTATTTATTTATTTATTTATTTATTTATTTATTTATTTATTTATTTATTTTTGTGGTACTGGGGATTGAACTCAGACCCTGTGCTTGCCAGGCAAGCACTTATTCTACTGAGCTATCTCCCCAGCCCCATGTGATATTTAAAACCTGTATCTGACTTAGTTCACTAAACATTACAGTCTCAAGATACATCCATTTTCCTACCAATATTTCAAGTTTGTGCTTCTTTAAGGTAGACTAGCAATCCATTTTATCCATTCACCTGTTAATGGACATATAAGTCATTTCCAGTATTCAGCTATCATGAATTGTCATGCTATAAACATGGGTATGCATGTATCACTATAATATTATGTCTTTAACTCTGGGGAAGATAATAGCTGGGTGAAATGGAATTTCTAGTTTTAGTTTTTTGAGGAATGTCTGCACTGATTTCTATAATGGTTGTAGTAATTATACTCCTATCAACAACGTAGGGTTCCTTTTTCCCCTGCAGTCTCACTGGCATCTATCATTTTCTAATTTCTTGATGATGGTTATTCCTTCTGGAGTCAGATGGAATTTCAGTGTTGCTTTAATCTGCATTTCTGATGGTCAGCAATGTTGAACACTTCTTGTGTTTATTGGCCATTTGTGCTTCTTCTGAGAAGTGTCTATTTCAGTTGCCCATTTTTGATTGAATCTTTTGAGGGGTCAATTTAAAATTATAAACATTGACTCCTTACTGCCTTTAATATGCTAGATTTTTAGACACAGAAAGTTTTAATAAGAATAATGCTTTGAATACTAAAACAGCTAAGCTATATAAAACCTGAAAAGCTGTTTCTAAGTAAACTGACTAAAAATAAATTCCTACAAGATCTAAGACCTTTGTGCAGGCCCTGGAACTGGGTGCAGTGTTACACGCCTGTAATCCCAGCACATGGGAGGCTGAGATAAGAAGATTGCTGTGAGTTCAAGACCAGCCTGAGGGCTACAAAAGTGAGCACAAGGCCAGTCCTAACTGTAGTGAGACCCTGCCTCAAAAAAGATCTAGGGATCAGGGATCAGTGAAATTCATTTTTGCCACAGAAGTTTTCACTTGTCTACTTAAGGTAGGACAAAATAATTCATCATATATGTATTTTTTTTATCTTGTTGGAACTTCAAATAATGACTCCTATCAAAAACAATATCTTTCCTCAATTTGACTTCTTTGAACAATAGCATACTAATTATCAGAGCAGCTATTTGCAGTAAGTTCTATAGTAGCACTAATCACTTTATATCTTTAGACTGTAAGCTTGCAGGCCTTTTTTGTAGTCAAAGATCTTAGGAACCTGGTAACAGGAATAAATGTGATTTGCACTAGGAAGATGCTCACAAAATGTGCTTTTTTAAAAAAATATTTATTTATTTATTTATTTTGTGTGTGTGTGATCAGCTCAGCCCACCAGGGGGCGGGGCTGGCTGGCATGTGGTGCTGGGGGATTGAACCGCGGACTCTGCTTTGCTTAGCTTAGCTTGTTCTAAGTAGGTGCTTTAGACCACTGAGCCATCTCACCAGCCAAAATGTGCTTTCATAGTTATGGACTGCAAGTATTTACATCAGCACATGGCAGGGTGGTTTGATAAGAATACATTATCTCATGACACCATAGCTGCCTTATTTATGTAAGTGCAATAATAAAATTGCCTAAGTATCAAGAGACATGCCTGTAAATAAAGCACATTTACTGGTTAAACATTTTTATTCTAGAGAGTATGCACTATGCTTCTTAACTATTGTGTATTGTGAAGTTAACTTATCAAACAAAAAATAATTTAGAGTCTAAGAACTCAAGACCCCAGACACAGATCTGCTGCTAGGTTCTATTACTTACGACATAACCAGTGTTAGAGTTGTTTAAAGGTTGAGACAATTAGGTAGTAAAGAATTTATTATTTCCTCTACTCTTGAGGAGTAATTGCTAAGCCTTTGAAAAGTCCAAGCTTTAGAGGAGTGTCTGTCTGCAAAGCTCAGGTTACTGGACAACCTAACAATATGATGTGGAGTGGGACGGCAACGCTAGACAGTTCTAGTGTGAGGGCTGGTTATGCCAGAAAGACCAACATGGGGATGCAGAGTGGGCACTTTGGGCCACATAGTTAGTATCAGCTAATTTGTGGAGGGGATGGATACTGAGCATCAATCACACCTTCAGAATGGAGCCCCAATAAAAACTGGGCATGATGAACTCAAAGCAGTTCCGTTTCCTGCCCAAGGAAAGGACAACAGATGCCCTCTGCTTGGTCCTTTTCCTGAGTGCTGCCCTATCTTTTTCCTTTGGCTGACTTCTTCGTCTGCTTTGGCAGTGCTGGAGATGGGACCCAGGGCCCTGTGCATGCTTAGGCTCCTGCTGAACTACAACTTCAACCCATATGGCTGAATGTAATCTGTACCCTTTCTCTGCAAGAAACTATACCTGCTTTCCGTGAACTCTGTGAGTCCTTCTAGGGGTTCTGTGAATCTGAGAGTGCTTTTGGGAACCTCTTAAAGTATCAGAAGTGGGGCTGTCTTGTCTGGACTGTTCTACTTCAGAGCTGGTTAAGATCTTCTAATAATTCTCATAAAGAACTAGCAAACCCAAGCATAGTAACACACACATAAAATCCTAAAATACTCTATAAAGGCTGAATTGAAGGCTAGTCTGGGCATTCAGCAAGGCTTCTCTAAAAATAAACAATACAAATGACTGAGGATGAGGGCTCAGAGGTTGGGTGTTTGCTCAGCATGCACATGGCCTTGGCTTTAATCCCCAAAAATGAATCAAAAAAGAGACCAGCAATGGGCTGGGACTGCAGTTCAGTGGTACAGCACTTGTCTAGCATGCATAAGGTCCTGGGCTCAATTTCTGGCAGTAGTGTAAAAGAACAGACAACAAACTAGCAGTAATTGATAGACCTCAGGGACTATGGTTAACAAACAGTAGGAGCGGGCCATGGTGGTACATGCTGGTAATCCCAGCACTCATGGGGCAGGGACAGGAGGATTGCTGGGAGTCTGAGGCCTGGGCTACACAGTAAACTCAAGTCTGTCCTAAATTACATAGTGAGATCCTGTCTCTCTCACACAAATGAACAAACAAACAAGAAACAGTAGGAATGCTAGGCTCTGCAAACCCACAAAGACTACTATCCCCATGCAATTCTATCACATTTCTCTGTAAATTGTGTTCACTATCACTACATCTCCTTATTTTTTAAATTTATTTTTTACTACAACTCTTGAAAAACCCCCTTCTGTCCTATTTTATTCTTTAAGACACTTCAAATAATTTTGAAGCTGTTAAAAAGTTCTAATCATTCAGTTTGCAAAATAGTACTTACCTATGCAACATTTGTGGCACCCTTTTGTATCAGGAATCTTTGTTGTCAAAGCAAACTTTCTGAAAACATAAAACAATATAAAAGTTCTTCATCGCTGTGGTAGCCATACAATGACTTGCATTGTACCAGACAGGAAGGAGCTTTTATTTTTCCTTCTATTTTTCCTTTTTTCCTTCCTTCCTATTGTGGCAGGCTCAGCCCACTGTGGGGGTGGGGCTGGTGCAGCATGTGGTGCTGGGTATCCAACTGCAGTCTTGTGCTTTGCCTGAGCTTGCCTAAGCAGGTACTTTAGACCACTGAGCTATCTCCCTGGACCCAGAAGGGAGCTTTTAAAAAACTCTCTTGGCCTTTGAGCACAGACTGTCTGGTTTTAGGGCTGACGGAGGGCCTGAGAACATGAGAACATGGCTCCAGGTCATTCTTGTGGGCGGTCCAGTGCAGGAAGCGCTGCTCTTGTGCATCCTCCATGGATGCACCTTAGTAGCTTTGAGAATTGGACAAAGGAAGTTTTCTCTGGGTAAGGAACACTGGTTGTTTCAAAAGTTAACACTAATTCCCCCCACTCCTAGAAGAATACAATGGCATCTTGTACCTTGGCAGTATGCGGTCTGGAAACCTATGAGTTTGAATATGGGCAGCTAATCCTGGTTTTTTGGCTTGTTCAAACAAAGCAATAAGATTATGAGAGTAGAGTTGAAAAGTTTTTCCTATAAAAGAGAAACATGTTATTTCACTTATTATTTAGAGAAATAAAATTTTCAAGTAAAAGAAAACATACTTACCTTCTAAAATAAGGAGACCAGTCATGTTCAAAGGCCAAGTAAAACAGAAAACATACAAAGACAAAACAAAAAATTCAGTTAATACTATGTTGAAAATAAAAAACTTTAAAAAAATTCACAAACTAAGTATATTCTGACACATAGTGATCTAAGCAGAATGTAAATCTTCAGGGTGAAAACATAGAAAAATTGTTTAAACTGATATACAAAAGAACTAATCTATAGGGGGGGCCTGGCCCTAGCTCAGTCCTTTAAGTGGCGGCCTCAGGTTGCTGGAGTTCGAACCTCACAACTGTCCCGCTGGCCAAAAGTGCCCTGAAGGCATTCGAGGAAGAAAGAACTAATCTATAGGCTAACTTTTTCCTGCTTTCCCATGGGTATTTTATAAATATGTAAGATGTACCCTGCCTGCATAGTGTTTTAAGCTTATTTATTGCAGGGTCTCACCATGCAACACTATTTGAATATCATCAAAGATCTGTAAGCATCTTGTACAGTATTAGGAGAATAAAATAGTCCATGAAAATATAAAAGACTGGCAACACTATGATTCGTGCTGTCTTTTTTTTTGGGGGGGGGGCTGGCTCAACCTACCCTGGGGGCGGGGCTAGCACAGCATGTGGTGCTAGGGACTGAACCGAGGTCCCTGCACTTGCTTAAGCTTGCCTAAGCAGGCACTTCAGTCTTCTGAGCTATCTTGCTGACCCCTTTAAGCTTATTTTGCAAACAACCATGACTAACAATAAAAGGAAATTAGAGAAAAGTAATTTTATGTGTGTAACACTCAGAATTTTTTTTTTTTTTTTTTTTTTTTTGCGGAACCAGGGATTGAACTCAGGCCCTTGAGCTTGCCAGGGAAGCGCTTATTCTACTGAGCCATCTCCCTGGCCCTCAGAATTGTTAAACAGAATTAGTTTCCTTTTTTTTTTTTTTTCTTTTTTTTAGAGGAGCATTTTTCAGAAAGCTTTTTTTTTCTTTTTTCTTTTGGTACCAGGGATTGAACTCAGGACCTCATGCTTGCCAGGGAAGCATTTATTCCACTGAGCTATCTCTGCCCTTTTTTTAAAAAAGAAGTAATATTACTGACTACATAAAATTTAAAAGATTTGGGAAAAGCATAATAAAATCAACGAGATTATATACTTTTGATGCCAGCTTTTTTAAAAGTAACATGCTCTTCAATTTTGTGCTGCCAAAGCAAACACAATAATATACTCTTTAAAAAACTGTGGATTAGCCAAATATACAGTTTAAGAATATCTATGATGGAACAATAATAGTTTTGCACTCTATATTAGAATCACTAAGCCTCTAGTCACTTAAACCTAAAATATAAGAAAATACTGTTTGATAAATAAGGAAAAAAAATCCAAATTATTACCCCACCTATTCATTGATAACTAGAACCAAAGAGAAAAATAAAATCACCCAAAGTAGAATCGGTTGCTCTGGATCACCTTGCTTAGCAGACTTTAAAGCATCAGTCCCACGCTGTGGTCCAGAACAATGTGAATGCCACCATCACACATCTGTCTAAGGCCTCACAGTTTACTAAGCACTTTGGATTAATTTCATTTAACTCTTAAAACAACCTCATGAGAGTTATTATCCACCATCCTCATTTGACAAGTATGAAAACAGAAGCTAGGAAGATGGGAATTGAAGTTAATACTCAGTGGAGGGTGGGAAGGACAGAAATGTAGAGGTGGACAAGGAGGCTAAGGCTGAGTGGGAGGGAGGGGTGTCAGGATGCTCACTACACGCCCCCTCAGGTGTACAGCTGCTAGGAGCACTGCGGAAAAAAAGTGCAAGTCTCAAAGTTACTAAATGTTAGCTATCTAGAATTACAAATACATGTATATTTTAAAGAATACACTAAAATGACAACTTTCTCTGTGGTTTCTCATCATGAAATGCATACCTGATAATGACATTAAAGTATTATTGATAACATATAGCCAAGTACACTTCCGTGGAAACAACTAAGGAAAAAGAAGAAGAAAATTAAGCTGGGTAGTTTTCATACTCTTACCCCTTTACCTCCAAATTCCAACATTCTAAAACAGTACTTTTAGGGACAGAGCTCAAGTGATAAGAGTGCAGGAGGCCCTGGGTACTCCAGACCACACAAAACTAAACAAATAAAATAGCATTACCCCCCCCCCAATAGCATTATCAAACAACTACTTTGTCTTTTAGTAAATTACCAAAACCTTAGGGAAAAATTTTTTTCCACATGAACATGTAAAGATATCATGTTATCCTTTTAGATATTTATAATGAAAATAAAAATGGGTTCATACAAATTGACTTCATTTTGATATTTGTATTATTTCATTTGTCCCAACTACTTTTTTGAGTTAAAATGCCTCATTACCTGTTCCATAGTTGCCTCATGTAGTTCATTGAGGTTCAATGTGTAAATACCATCTTCAGTTCCAAAAATAATGTACTGATCTAAAACAGTTCATAAATTGCCAACATTTACTACCATTTTCCAAAGTTGTTTGCTAAAATAATAGTTTTCTATTGTAATGATACTAAAAGTTAGACAGCCACCCAAAGTAAAATTATTTTCTAAAATTCATGCTGCATTACTTCTTTCACCAACACCTTTCCTTTTTTTTGTATTTTAGGGAAGGGTCTACAGGGTGTTCAGGGTCTCACTACTAGATCAGACTTGTAGTGATCCGCCTATTTACAGCCTCCCAAGAGCTGGGATTACAGGCGTGTGCCACCATGCCCAGTCTCAATTGCCATCTCAGCCTGTCCTAGGAGTGGGCGGCACAGCAAGCCTGGGGATCGAACCCCCAGCCCCTGCTTGCAGGGGCTTTAATCCGCTGAGCTATCTGGCCGCCCTACCTTTCTTGTTTATAAAAAGTAGACATATTCTGGTAGGGTAGCCCAGGGTTTACTTTACTATATAACTCTCTACATGGACACAATCTTTGTTCTAGTATTTTTATGGTAATGAATTTTGTACTCAAAATACAAAAGATACCTCAAGGGGCAGGGGAGATGGCTGTGGAATAAGCGCTTCTCTGGCAAGCACAAGGGCCTGAGTTCAATCCCCGGTTCCACAAAAAAAACCACACCAAACCAATCCCCAAGTACTCTTGAACAGGGAAATTACACACTAGATGTAAGTCATAAGCTAGCACAGCGCGTCCGCTAGGGCTCAGACCCTGCTTTTCAGCTGCTGCTCTCACTGAGCAGAGCGAACATGGGCCAAGACTGCTTCCAGCTTGGGGCTCGGGGGCAGGGCAAGTACAAGATGAGCCCTGACATCTGCTGTGCTTGAAAAAGAATTTAGACATTTAAAAGAAAAGGACACAGCAGCTTCTACTGATCCTATGAATTGCCATCCAAGCCAAAACTTCTGAGATAATTTAAGTCTAAAAGTAACAACAGATCACATCTCACTGAATAAAATATCAATTCATAAATCCAAACTGCTTAAATTCAGTATGCACTCATGAATTCAATGCTCTACTAGAAAAATGAAGTGAGGACTAGAAATATTGTGAAAGTAAAATTTAAATATGGATTTTGGATTAAAAAGCCAGAATTATAGTAAGCGCTGCACACTAGGCTACATTCCCAGTCCTTTTTAGTTTTCACATTGAGACAAGATTTCATTGAATTGCCCAGGCAGGCTTAACTGAAAGTTCCCTCTTGTCTCAGCCTCACAGCAGCTGTGATGACGGCACGTACCACAGTGCCCAGCCCAAGCGATGCATTTCGTTTTAGCACTGGACATTGACTCCAAGGCCTCCGCCACGAGCTACCCCAGCCTACTCATACATTCTGAGACAGGGTCTTGCTGAGCTGCTAAGTTGCCCAGGCTCAAACTTGTGATCCTGCCATCTTCGCTTCCCATTGAGCTGGGTTATGGGCAGCGGACAATTCCTGATACTAGGAAACAGACACTTAAGTAGAAGAACATGATGAGAGCACATAAAAAAGTTCATATGAACAGAGAAAATGGTCAAATATGGTAAAATAGAAATAACTGATGATTTTTTTTTCATTGTTCACTTAGAGGTCACAGGTTTTTATTTTTTTATATCCTTTATTTTTTTATTATTTTTACAAATTTATTTTCCATAATTTTATTGCGAAACAAATAGCAATGAGACAGTTTCAAATCAAATTGTTAAGACAGTTTCAGTAAGTAACACACTGCATACATTCTTCCTAGTGGTTAATTGCTGTACAAGATGGGGACATGATAACCTATTTACAAACACCATTAGAACAAATCCCTCTATTCGTTAAGAGAATGTAACTATGTATCTATCCTGACCACTTTGAATACACAGATACAAAATGGGCAGTGGACAATTCCTGACACTAGGAAACAGACACTTAAGTAGAAGAACATGATGAGAGCACATAAAAAAGTTCATATGAACCGAGAAAATATTTTATCCCCCTTTTTTTGTTAAGTCCCATTATTTGAATATTATAGGTGTGTAAACTCAGCAAAATATTCCAAAAGAGCCCAGTAGCCCATAATAGTATTGGGTCTTCCGCTTGACTGCCAATGTCAGAAATTGTTGACCTGAGTCCCCCACAGCTCAACATAACAGCATGGCTTTACTTCTTATATTTCGTTTTTTATACTTTTCTGCTGGATGGTTAAGACCAAGGTAAAGCAGGATCTATGTAACAGGAGTCGTAGCTTTTGGGTCCGATAAGGTCAGTGAAATCCCCTCAGGATTTATCCTGAGATCCTTAACTGATTATTTTGAGTATGAGTTTCTTGTACTTCTCTGTAAATTTGAATATATCAAATAAAAAATTTCAAAAGAAAAACATTTACTTAGAATCAAAATTTTTATTTTATATTTTCTAACAGTGGCATTTAAAGTGGGCTATTTTATAATCTGTTTTCATCACTATGTTGAAACAGAAACATTCTTGAGCTCTTCTACTACCTACTTATGTTTGCTAATTGTCAATCAGGTAGGTTCTTTCTTATTTTTTAAAAAACTAACTAATTAACTAATTAATTAATTTGTGTGTGTGTGTGTGTGTGTGTGTGGCCAGCTCAGCCCACCAGGGGGCGGGGCTGGCTGACATGTGGTGCTGGGGGATTGAACCGTGGTCCCTATGTTTTGCTAAGTTTGTTCTAAGTAGGTGCTTTAGACCACTGAGCCATCTCACCAGCTCCGAAGTAGGTTCTTTCTTGCAACTAGGTAAATATTAAGGATTTTTATGTCACACATGAGTACCATGGAAACCAGAGACATTATGCCTATTTTCCAAGTCACACTAATGATAAGGTGTGAATTCAAACCCAGACTGATTTTGAATTTTTGCCTCTACTTATTATGCTTCCTCACTTTAAAAATATAAGCTAAAATTTAGTATTCTGAATCTTTTGAGACTTACAACAAATGTGTCACAGAATAAAGAATTCTTGAATACTCTTAACACAGATTCCACAAATGCCGAGCATTCACTACTGCTTGATCCTTCTGTCTCCCCACTACACACTTTGTTTTCTGAACTGTCTGAGATAAGTCAAAAGCATGAAGTACCTTTCATTCCTAAATATTTCAATGGACACTTATTTTAGTTATTTATTTTTTTGGTGGAACCGGGGATTGAACTCAGGCCCTTGCACTTGCCAGGGAAGCGCTTATTCCACTGAGCCATCTCCCCAGCCGGACACTTATTTTATTTTTTAAGTTTTTTTTTTTTTTTTTCTTTTTCAGTATCAGGGATTGAACTCAGGACCCTGTGCTTGCCAGGCAGGTGCTTATTCCCCTGAGCTACCTCCCTGGCCCTGGACACTTATTTTTTAAATCTTATATAACCACAGGCCATTAACACTGATACAGTATTATTTCACCTACAGACTTTATGAATATTATAAATTATCTCAGCAGTATCCTCTAATTATAAGTACAGTTCCAAATCAAGGATGCAATCATTTGTGATGTCTCTTTAGCTTTTTTTACTCACAAAAATTCTTATATATCTTAAATTTTATTACATTTAAGCCAAAACCTTGTATCATTTAATGTCCAAGTTTCTATTTTTAAAATAAACCATCTCAGTTTACTAACTACAGAGATCTTGGAGCTCCCGTGGCGCAATCGCTTAGCGCATAGTACTTATACTATAGAGATCTTTCCCCACAATAAATACTTTACTGCATACAATATTTAGAAATTTTACCTTTTGTATCAGGATGTATCCAAGAAGTTGCACAATTGATCTTCAAGGGGCAGCCATCGAAAACTTTTGAAAAACATGCTCCCATCTTCATTACAAACAAATATAGACTTATTTGATTAGATAATTTTAAGCATTTTTATGAAACTTGTTATGAAATGTCAAATTAATTTGTATGTTTGTAGTTTCATCTCAAAACAAAATACATATTTAACATAATGTAATCTCTTCTACAAAGAAAATCTATTTTCTTTTTGTATTCTGTTCTTTCAGATTAAAAGTATAAAATTTACCGGCCGGGGAGATGGCTCAGTGGAATAAGCACTTCTCTGGCAAGCACAAGGACCTGAGTTCAATCCCCGGTTCCGCAAAAAAAAAAAAAAAAAAGCAAAGCCTGGCTGGGGGCCTGGCCCTAGCTCAGGCCTTTAAGTGGCTGCTTCCACAAAGCTGTCAGCCTCAGGTTGCTGGAGTTTGAACCTCACAACTCTCTCGCTGGCCAAAAGTGCCCTGAAGGCATTCAAGGAACAAAAAAAAAAAAATCCTTAAAAGTATAAAATTTACCAAAGATCTACATATGTCCATGATATATCATAAATATTCTAAGTTATTACTTTAGGATTAACAACTAATCCTAAAACAAGGTTAAAATGGTAAAACAATGGTTGCTTATATTAAGTGACATTAGGGCACTAATGGCAACACAGACATAACAAGACAAAAGAGCTGATAACTTCTATTACATATTAAACTTTTAATGAATCAAAAAGTGAAATTTATAAAGTACTCCACTGACATGGGTGGTTGAACCACATCAGAGACAGATTCCCCAGAGACAAGGCCAGAGAACAAATGTTCAGTTTTCCATTTCACTGTACCCAGTCCAATGTGAAAATGGCTCCAAGGGGGGAAAGAGAAAAGGGTAATGTACTTTTAACATCATCATGTTAGCTATACTGACTGTTCTGAGGCTAATCTGAGAACCTGGACTGCCAATACTTATAAAAGTGAAATGCTCTCAAAAATCTAAACAATTCATTCAAATGAGAGTATATGATTTGATACATACTTTTATACTTTATAATATCCTTCCATTTAAAGGTTCAATATACTGATAACAAAAGTAGTTTTGCTCTTTACACAGATAAAAAAATGGCATATGGATTACAGAAAAATATTCCTTACCAGGACTTTTGGGGTGGGTGGAAGACCATTGATGGCTGGTTTCTGTAGGAAAAAAAAAAAAGAAAATTTAAATGCTGTAAGACACTTCCCAAGTCTAAAAAAAAGTTGCTATTTAGAAATTCAGTTTTTCAAGTCAACAACTTCTGATACTGCCAGTCATGCAGATAACCCACTACTATTACAGACTACTGGACTATATTGGATTACTTTGCTGAATTCATGCACCTTCAATATATGAATGGCAATGGAATACCCATCTCTGACCAATGTAAACAAGAAAGGTGGATATAAATGAACGACCATTTTGCAGTGAAAAAAAATATGTATCTGTATATACAAAACAGCACAGACATACAGCTTAGTTCAATGAGAAGAAAATTGGAACTAAGAGTGTTTAAGATATCATGTCTACGTCTTGTACTATGAATACTACAAAAACAATATGCAATGTATTAATTATTGTAACTGTCCTGCTAACCTGCTTTGAAACTGTCTCACTGCTATTTCTTCCTCAATAAAATTAACATAGAAATTCAGTTGTTGTTTTTTTTTAATTTAAGAGACGAGGCAATGCTATGTAGGCCCAACTCCAGAGCTCAAGTGATCCTCTGCTTCAGCCTCTGGAGTACCAGGGTCAACAGGCATGCACCACCACACCCAGCGCTAGTATTTCAATTCTTAAAAACACCATTCCCCTTCCATGACATTAAATACAGTAATAGCTACAACTCACTACCGAATGCCTGTTGTACCTACAGGGAAGTCTCTCTTGTCCTTTTTCCGTGGCAACTGTGGTGCCTGTGCTGATCCTTCTGTATTTTCATTAATTAGTTTTGAGATACCATCACCATTTCCCATAGAGGAAGTCTCAGCTACAAGACCACAAC